ATTTGAAAATGGCGTCGCATTGCCCTTCACAACAAGGCGCAGTGATCGATAAATTTGGTGAAAAACGGAATTCCCATTGCAAGGACTTGACGACGACGACGAGCTAGTGGCACCCGTCGGGGTCGCGTGCCACCTCGCGATGCCGCTTGTGGACGATGCGCTCGAGTGTCTCTGGCACGATCGTGATCGCGTGCAACGTCTAATGCATCGTGAGACGGCGACTAAAGCTGGTATTCCTCTAGACCAGTTGGTTACTCGCCGCCAGAGAGGCTTCCCGAGGCGAGAGCACACGCTGGCACTTGACCACGCTCGGCCGCGACAGCATCGTCGACGGCTGCGGACGGCGTGGCGTCTCCTACGACGCACGTCCTGCCAGCTGTAGCCTTTTGCAGTTTGTACGCTGGGTGGGGGGTGGGGTAGCCGTCGAGCTTTGGTGCGTTGCAACAGTGCGGGCGGCTTGTCTTCGCTTGTCGCCTCGCTACCATACCCATTCAAAGACCATACCCATTCAAAGAACAGCTATCAATCGGCACCTCGTCACACTCAGATTTTGCGGCGCGTCCAATGCGACAGGAAGCGTATCATGGCCAAAGGTACTGAGCACGAGACCGCCTTGCCACGATGAGAGCAGTACGCGGCCGTCTTTTGCCGCCGAGACCACCTCCCAACTCTCTCATTTTCATGTGCAATCCACGAAATAGGTACCATGGTCTTTGCAAATGCAACAAATACAACGGAGGCATGGTGCGCCACCCAATGTTGCTCGCGCGCGTGCAAGAAGCGCGGAATACCCAATGGTGGGGAGCCCGCGGTGGTGAAATGCTTGGGTACATCGTATATCGAGTGGACCTAGTCGTCATGTTGGGCAGCGTGAGACAACCTCTTATAACAGTCCATATCGATGACCTGCAGCACGCCGTGGGCGTACCCCGCTAGCAGTAGCGAGCCCGAGACGTCGATTGCGAGGCTCGCTATCGCCTCCGCATGGCCCTCCAAAGACGCAAAAATCGAGTGTCGAATCGTTGCCAACTAGTACAGCTAGATATACCAACTAGAAACTATCGCAAAAGGTACTTACTTTTGTCGACCAAAAGTCAATACGCCCATCGTTGCCACCCGTGACAAACCCGTTGATGAGGGGATGCGATACCACCGACACCTAGGGTAGCATGAAGATCCGTGGTGCTACTGTGGCTATCGCAATACGGCATGTTCACACAACACTGGCGACGACGGCACGGCGTCCGGGCACTGATCCACTCGGGCGTATGAGAGGTGTAGTCGGTCTTGGGTGCGTCCTATGAAAACGTCTTTAGTGTTTATGCGGGCATGGACGGCGGTACGCGTGTGCAGCGACCAAATGCAAATGGTGCCGTCCAGACTCGCCGAGACGACGAGCCCAACCTTGGCTGGGAGCCAGCACATGGCTGTGATAACCTCAGCGTGTCCTCGCTGCTGGTTGTCGTCGGCATCTGGCCACGTCATGCTCGGTGCAATGTTCAGCGCCTTGGTATCTTCAAAGAAGCGCACTTGACTGTCGTCGCCGGCGACCAAGACAAAGCTACACGATCGCAGAGCTCATAGCCATAGGTCACGACGCGCGCTACCAGCTCGTGTTGAGCGACGTCGTGTGTAGGATCGGCTGCGCAAAGAGCAGAGCGACGACGCTGCAGGCGTCAGCGTGGTGCCATTGCTACATTGTTCGCATCAACCTCTCACTCGCACCTTCAGCACATGATCCAACCGAGAGAAGTTGTCCGTTGCTGCCGTTCCAGATGCGCACCGAGCCGTCGGCGGCCCCTGTAATGAGCCGCTTGCCTCGTCTATCATACGACATGGCGGTGATCTATACTGGACAAATAAGGTCCAATATGACATCTTCGATTTGGCCATTGCACCCGCTCATTGTCGTGGGCGCGCGGCATCCGGAGAACGAGCTTGCCCGTGGCGGCATCCCACGTATTCACAACCGAGTTGACGTCGGCCGACGCCACCTGTCCACACATCCACGCTGTCATTTTGTCAAGCTAGTCGTCCTACTTGATGCAATAGCGCCGAATACGCGGCACACGTAATGGCGACGTCATGGCTGCGGCGGTGACGCACCGTGTGCTTGAGCACCTGCGATTGAATGAGACTTGGCTAGCATGGCCATATAACTGCACCATATCGGTGGGCCACACGCGGAGCTGCGTTGTCGTCGATACGAGGTGCTGCAAGTCGCAGTCCCAAAGTATGCATTCGACGAGGTCGTGCGGAAAGTACAGGTTGGCATCCACGATCGTCTGCGTGCACTCGTAGCTGTAACAGTCCCAGACCTTGATCGTCTTGTCCTTGGCGAGTGAAAAGAGCTTGCCTGCGGCGGCGTTCACAGTCATCTACACCGCTCAACCATGGACACTGCATTTGAAGTTGAAGGCCCGTACTTCGTAGACGGGGGCCGCATGGCCCGCCAGCGTAGCGAGCACGTTCGTGGAGACCGGTTCCCAGAGGCAAATGTCGTTGCCCGCACCAGAGCTGGCGACGAACGTCAATGTCGGCACCGACAAAAGAGCATAGACCCCACCCCTACACTGCATGGTAGCTACATTATGTGATTTCCATAGCTTCAATACCTATGCTGCGTGAATGACTGCAGCAGCGTATGGTCGGGCACGCGAATGCAGTGAATGGCGCCATCCACGGACGCCGTCAGGAGTGCATGCAACGTCGGCTCGAACACCACCTAGACCGCTAACCAATCACAGCAAATCAGAAAGACTCGTGTACCTTGGTCACCCAGTCCGTATGCACGGCCAGATGCTCGGTCAACGAGGCTGTATAGCACGGCAAGATAGGCGTGATGTGGAGGCGTCCGGCCATGTCACCAAACACGAGCCGGCAGGCGTGGGCATGTTCATACATCGTGAGGCACATGGCTGTGTCACCAAGATGCGGTAGCGACAACACAATCGCTCCCGTTGTAAGCGCAACCACTTGGATCGATCGATCGACGCGGCTCATAGCCGCGTAGGCGCCGCCGTTGAACGAGAAGACACACATGTCGGTCACGTAGCTTCCCCGAAGGTCCTCGTACATGTAGAGGCAAGTAAGGGTGGATGCCTTCCATAAACAAACCACGCCGGCGTGCGTGCAACTGACATAGACGCTGTCGGTACGTAAGTAGTTCGAGTGCGCAAGTCGGCGCGTCAAGCGGGTTAGCGCGAGACGAAAGATCGGGCTATCGTGCGCCGTCGACGAGACGACTTCAAGCGACGGCCGGAGCTCGGCGCGGTTGGCATCGCGCTCCAAGTTGATGCTGCGTTGGTCCAGAATAAGAAAGAAGTGACACCACTCTTTCCATTCCACGTGCCCGTCCGAGTTGGCGTCGATGCGTTCAAAGAGCCGCCGGAGCTGGTCGTCCGGCAGCCGACCCGGCCCAAGCACCGACGTGAGCGCAAAAGCAAACGCTGTGAGGTCCAACGTTCCATTAGGGGCGCTGGCGAACGCTGCCTCGAGCGTGGTCAAGTGCTGTGAGCTCAATAAGGCACTCACATCAAAGTCCGACAGCGACATCCAGCGAGGTCGAGTGACCGAGTCGCTGAAACCGACGTTTCGGTGCATTCGAATCCTGTGTTCGGTGGGCGTTGGCTCACAATTGAGCTGGTCGCCACGACGCAGTGTTTAAACGCCTTTGTATGCATTTTGCTGAAGCGTGTTGTGCGTACATGTATTGACTACTAGAGACGATTTGAGACGCTCAAAAGTAGCCGCCAGGTGAACTGTCGAGCGTTTGTCGAATATTCCCTTGTCGTAGTGCGAGGAAGTTTGCCCAAATGTACACGTGTTCACCGGTCGCTTCCCGTACAACTTACAACAACAAATGCAATGCTCGGTCAGCTAGTCATGAGTTGGAACAACGTCTGACGAGTTGACAGGGGCACTCGAGACGTTCCCGAAACGAACGCGAGGCAGAATTAGAAAGGCTGGGATGGACCAACGTGTGCTCTTTGAAGTATGGAAGATCCTTCAGGTCTTCCACGAGCCTGAGCGCCTCGCACGCGAGAACGGTGTCCTCGCAGAGCCAGTCGTCCACGTGGCCAAGCCCGTGTACGTCGCCCCCCCGCCCCCCGTGGTGCAAACACCTTCCAAGCTACCGCGCAACCTCAGTGTGCGCACATCATCCGACGTTGCTGACAAGTCCAACGAGCTGGAGACGCTCGAACGTCTCTTGGCCTTCAAGGAGAAGAGCGAGAAGATGCCTTTTGTGCTGGTAGCTCAAATCAACTGGCGACTGTATTCAAATCAACCATGTAGGTATGGAGCGTCATTTACCAGCACTTGCTCCTGGGACGCAGCCAGACACCAACCAATGCGTTCTACTCGCTCAAGAAGATCAACTCGCAAGAAAAGCTCGAAGATGAACTCGTAATCCGAGCCTTTCAACAGGCAAAAACCCACCGCGCTGTGCGTAGAACAAGAGCAACCTCCTCGACGGTGACGATATGGTCCACATTGAAGGATTCATCGAGAAGCTACGTCTACGCGCGGCGCAACCTCAAAAGCCATCGCATCGCCAAAGCACTCATCACAGAATGAGCACTCGAAAATCATCGATCACGTCCTAAGTGCACGCCGCTGGAGAGCGTAGTGCGGACTCGACAACGAGGAAATCCGAGTACTGTGAGCTTGTGATGCCCAAACGAATCGTTCACTAGCATCTATTGACAAGGCACAAGACTTCAAGTTTGTGCCAAAACAAGAACTGAAAATGCATTTTGGCGCTACATACCTGAGACACGGCTGTTCATACCCCAGACATGAGCTGCTGGCCGCTGACAACGCAAATCGCTGTTTCGGAACATTTCTCCGAGTTGACGGCCGCCATCTTCCTCTTCCACGTCCACGGTCGCCGCAGCAAAAGCTCGAAGCGAGCTTGATGCCGATAGTATCTGGATGTCGCAAACCGTTTCGCGGTTATACGGATGACTTTGCATTTCCGGATATTACTTGCGATGATGGCGGAGCCCGCGCTCGTGCTCGACCACGTCTACCTCGGGAGTCGTAGCCATGCCAAGGACAGGGACACGCTGCTCAAGCTTGGCATCACACACATCCTCAACGTGCGTCACCGTTCTTCCTCTCCGTATGAGCTCTACGACGCCTGATATAGGTCACGCCAGCACGCTCGGTGGACCCCGTCGCAGGCGTACCAAACTTTTTTGAGAACGATACGCGCTTCACGTACGGCAGGAGAAGATGCCCGCAATCTCACTGCGTGCCTTCATAGCTACCGCCGCTGTGCTCTGTACGACAACAAGGGCGAGGACATTCTGACGTCGATCGAAGGCTGCTTGGCCTTTCTCGACCAAGCCCAATTTTACGGTAACTCTTCTGCATGCTTGACAGAGAGACGAAGTGCGAGATAGGCAAGGTGCTCGTACACTGCAAGCAGGGCGTGAGTCGGTCCGCGTCCATCGTGGTCGCCTACGTGATGCGAACCAAGGAGCTGTCGCGCGACGACGCCCTCACATTTGTGCAAGCCCGTCGCCCCGAGGTACGTCGTTCTATCCACGGCCAAAACGAAACACTTGTGTGCAGGCCCAGCCGAATGGTAGCTTTCTCAAGCAGCTTCTCCAGTACGAAGTGCGTCTCAAGCAGCGAGCTGCGATAAAGGCAACCTCCACCACCACCAAGGAGCGTCCAGTATCACCCCAAGCAGCGATTGGCCCAGCACTTCCTCCGCACTTGCGCAAGTCAGTGCTTAACGAAACACCGTCAATTGGACCGCAGCTGCCTCCCAAACGCAGGAGCAGCACGAGCGACGCTACCGACAGCCCCACTCGGAAGCGCACCAAGCCGGGCGAGGACGCGTCAACAAGCCCATTGACGCGTATGACATGACAACAAAGCATGCATACCCTTAACGAACGATACCCGTCACACTCGACAGAATAGAGTCTTGAGCGCGAAAATTTACTAGCACTAAAACTCACTTCCACAACAACCCAGAAACCGATCGAGCCACCTTCGAAACGTTTGGTTTTGCTCGCAATAGCCGCTCCATGTCGGTCGTGCGCGTGGGTCCGCGGCACTCGCCGTCCAAGCGCTCGCTCGTTCCGATCTTCGCACCCCGCAGCTACGTCCACGTTGTCGGTGTCGCGTACGTGCTCGCTTCGATTGCGCTGAGCTTTCTTGCGCTCGATGTCATGTCGGCTGCGATGACGACCAACTTTTTTGTGCCGGCGGTCGATGCATCGCTGAGCCTTTTGCTCCAGCGCTTGAACGACGAGCTCACGCTACCGAATCAAACTTCACCGAGGTCCGTCAACGTCACGACCGCGCTCCTCTCGGACAGTGGCGTCGTCGCGGCAGCCTATGCGCGTCGCGTGGTACACGAAGACCTCACGTCGCTGGAGGCGGGCGTCACGGGACTTCGCAACTTGGCTATCTCTC